ACCAACGGATTAGCTGAATTGTCAAATAGGGAGATAAAGGGAATTTTGGCCAAAGTAGTCAAACCACATAGAAAGGATTGGGCCTCTAAGTTAGATGATGCATTGTGGGCCTATCGGACTGCTTACAAAACTCCTATTGGTATGTCTCCCTATAAATTGGTCTTTGGAAAAGCTTGTCATTTACCTGTGGAATTAGAGCACAAGGCCTATTGGGCCATTAAGGAACTCAACATGAGTCTAGATGAGGCCGGAAGAAAAAGGACTTTGCAGCTTTGTGAACTGGAGGAACATAGGAATTTTTCCTATGAAAATGCTAAGCTTTACAAAGAAAATACAAAAAAATGGCATGATAAAAAGATTCTTCCAAAAGAGTTCATAGAAGGCCAAAAAGTCCTATTATTCAATTCAAGGTTAAAATTATTCCCGGGAAAATTGAATTCCCGATGGACCGGACCTTTTGTTATTTCCAAGGAATACCCCTATGGAGTCATTGACCTGATAGATCCGGAGAGGAGTACCACTTTCAAAGTGAATGGACAAAGATTAAAACCTTTCTTTGAGTCTATGAGTATTGCACAACCTATTGAGGTTATCTTTCTAAAATAATAAGTCTTTGTAAATATTTAGTATTTATATATAAGTATAAGTTGTTATTTTATTTTTCATTTTTCATTTTAAATTTTTAGGTTAAGCTTTTATTTTATTTTATAGAATAATTATATATATATATATATATATATGTGTGTGTCTATAGGCTCTTATATTTTTAATTTGTCTTTCATTTTAAAATTTTCAGTTTATTTTTCTTAGAATAATTAGTTCTTCTATATTAGGTTTACATATATATTTTGGGTTTTGTTTTAAATAATTTTGGGCTGGAAATAAATTAAAAGAAAAGGGGGCCCAAATTTCTGGCAGGCCAAAAGGAATTGAAGCCAATTTGTTTTCTTATTAACAGGCCGAGAAGGAGGATGGCCCAAAGCGAGTCCGTATTTGAGAAGGCCGCGAAGATGGAGCCCATCATCGATGTACGCTTGGTACGGCCTGTCAAAACTCCCGCGTAACCATACTAAGCCAAGTCTGGTAAACCGTCTCTTCATCTCCAAGCTTTCAACCCAGGCGAAGACCTCCATCAAYGTACTCCCTCAATCAGACCAAGAACAGTAAGCAATAGCTCATCAAAATACTCATTTTCAAGAAGGAAAATACTTCATCGAAATGGCAGTGTAAGAAAGGTACAATCTCTGACTTTCTACTCGATAACTGTCATTGATCAGAGAAAGTTTTGAAATTTTCAAAGCTACAACCTTGGAGACCAAGTTTAGAGGCTTTAAGAACTCCTAACCACTGTTCACACTCCATTCGGGCTAGTCTCAAGCCACTGTTCACAACCGTTAGTCTCCTTTGCTCCAAGAACCATTAACAGTCTCTTGTTCCATTTGTATGGCCATTGTTAAAACTCGAGCAAGAAGAAGGGAAGGGGAATCAGATTCTATGCCTCCTGTAACCAATCATGATCACTCCGGTGAGAGTGAAGAAGAGCCCATTGATGCCATTCCCTTGAGACAGGTCCCTTTTGCTAAAACCAAACCTCAACCATTCACTCAACCCCAAACTCAGGCTACTGTGATTATAAAGTCTAAGCCACAGCTTTTTCCACAATACCAATTTGGCCCAAGAATGACCAGAAGCAGAGCTAAGGGTTTGATCAATTTCAAGCCAGTAAAGCAAAAGAAAGGAACTATGATTGATATATCTGATGATAGTGATTCACCATCCAAAAGGCATGATGTTCAGAGCAGCTCAAGAAGACCAACACAAGAGAACTCAACCTTTTTGAATATGATGGCAGATGCAGCAACTCAGATAAGCACTCAGAGCATACTTTCAAACATCATAGAGAGGCTCCAAACAGGTTTAAAAGTTTCTAGACCTTTAACTAGGGATTTATTTTCTAGCTTTCCTGTTTATCCTCAAGCCAGTGTGGGATTTATGTTAAGAAAATTTGTGGATGAGGCCATTGCTGCCTCTAATGAAGTATTGGGCCTAAGATCAGCAACTTGTGCCCCTGCTATAGCTATGATCYRAACYCADCCTTCTATGGCTGCCCAAGCATCTAAAAAGGGAAATTCATCCCTTAAGCACTCTGTTAGTGCTGCTCTGGCAGCCATGGACAGGATGATTAGGAGGGAACCAGAGTGTAATGCAGCCCCTGCCCAACCACCTGTTACCACCACCCATGCACCTACTTTCTTTAGAAACATGCCCATTGAGTTCAATTTCTTGAACTCACCATACTTCACCACTATTCCTGTTTCATCATCCACTGTAGAACCTACACTATTTAACCATGCATCCACATCCCAAACAGTGCCTAAACCAACCCCTGTTGAAACAGCCCCTGTTGAAACA